CCTTTGTTTCACTGGAAAGTGCCTTCCAAAGCTGGCAAAAGGGCAGGGCAGGCACTGAGAATTAAAATCCACAATGCCGCTAATCTCAAGGGATTAACTAATCCATACTTTATATACACACTCCCCTCTGAGTACCAGGTCCCCTTGCTAAGACCCTGCATGACAGTTCAGAGGAACCTGTGTCCTTTGTAAGCATATGGCTAACTGAAAGTCATTAGTTCTATTGGAAATACTTGTTGTTCATTGATTTATTTAAGTCCTCTTAAATATTTGCTATGAGGTTAGTGCTGGTGTCAAGTGTTGTATTGACAGTTCTAGGGCTCCGCTTAGCCTCAGAACAATTGCAGGAAAGACAGTACCTCCCATCCAGACTTCCCCATCCTGCCTGTGTGCCTCAGTGCTGGCCTTTCAAAACCAGAGCTTTTGAGATCAGAGAGGAGTAAGCCATCATGGCCCCTTCAGTTCTCTGCAGGAACAATTAACAAGGGAAACAGGCATGATGGACATGGTTTTGAGATCCAACAACCCACTTCACCAAACCAATGCAGAACTATGGTAATTTTCTGCAGCTACCATCTTTTAACAGGATGGGAACCAGCAGACTTGAGTGAGGAGGATCATCAAGCTATTCCACTAAGCTCTTTCTCACCTAATTATACTGGAGCTACAACTGAGATACAGCATTAGCTTACATTACCTAGGTACAAGAGCCACTATCAAGGCTGAGGGGAGATGACTGTTTAACTTGGTGGAGGTTCATTAGGGGTTCACACTACTGGAGTTTGAGACCAAGAAGTGAAAATGCTCAACTGAAAAAGCTGCACTTCACCTAGTTTGATGGCAAGCCCTTAAGGAGCCAGGATTTCTTATCCACATGGGTTGAGATGCTGTACACATTTTTCATTCCTTTGACGTAAGGGTCAAGTCTACAGCAAAACCTGAAACCAGAGAAGCCATCTGTGATGTGATGAGGTGTCATGGTGAAAGCTTCACACCAGTCAGCCTACATACACAGTAAAATAACATGACTATCTCAAGGCTTTGTCATTACCACTATGATACACACCAGTCATTCTCACATTCCTACATACACTCCAACCATATCTTGCATGTCTCTAGCCCACTTCCTTCTGCCTCTGCACTTCCTGACAGATACATGCAGTATCCACAAAGTGGCACTGTACCACTGTGGCCTTCTAGACCACAGGTGGCCAACCAGCAGCAAGGGTGCCACAAGTGGTATGGGCAGCCTCTGTCCATGGCATGCCACACATCAGCAAGGGGACAGACAGCACAGGGCAGGGAGCAGAAGATCAGAGGAAGGGAATCAGAGAGGCAATCAGCGAAAGTGGAGGGCCAATTTGGGGCATGCCTGCCAAAAAACATTGCCCACCACTACACCATCACTGCAACAATAAATTTATGATATGTTATCCTAGAAAACGTTGTCCATGACAACATATTTAGCAGCACTGACCCAGCAGGGAGCAACATCATGCACAGGCACAGACAACCTGCGTGTACAAATTGCTCATTCAAAATGTTGAATTGCCTATGTCAAAAATGGCTTCCAACCATGTCATTGAGAAACTTTCTTATCCCTGTGCTTTGAAGAGAGGACTTGAAGTGTGTAAGGGTGATTCCCCACACTGACATGAGGGATGTGATCATTAGCTTTCCCATGAAAAGTTTGCCATAAATTAACCAAGTTATGAGCCTTTAGAAGTGGCATACAAAAAACTAGAATTCTTGGTTCCAAAATGATATCTTTTATTAGACTAACTAGAAAACAGCAAGAAAGTTGTCCTTTTCTGCAAGCTTTCAGGATCAAAGTCCCTTTGTCAGGCTCTGGGAAAAGTGTAGATAGTACAAGATGGTAAAAAGTCCCCATGGGGAGC